TTTTAATATTAAAGAACAAAAAGTTTAATTGAAAAAAACCGCCAACATTCGTAATTATTCCTAACAATTCGAATTAGATTAGCTACTAAAATTGTGCCCTAATACCGGCCTAATTAGTATTATAGTATAATAGTAAATTCTACAAGTAGTACTTTTCTTTGGCCCAAAAACTAAAGTGTTGTATAAAAAATAAAACTATTTCTAATGAACAAACTACTGTATGTAGGTGAAAAAATATTTTCTGTAATAATTTGCAAGCAGATATTGTAACCAATGAATTTCTCAATGCTTATAGTCTATTTCACGATAAATGGTTGAGTGCTTAATGATTGCAATAAAACGCGACCGCAAGTACTCTAGCTTAGTCAACATTAGTTGAACAGGTAAGTATTTAGGTAAAATTGAAGCTACTGTGGAGTGTCGTTATCTTTTTGTATTATAAATTCCTGGTAATATAAAAACGATTAAAAAATCCTATAAAATTATAAAAACGATTAGGGTACATTTTATTTTAGAAAGTTGTAAACATTTTAACAGTGAGTTTCACTATCAATGGTTGATATTTTAATGACCACAATAAATTTGTTGATCGTTAAGTATTTTCTGAAATAATTATACAGGTTCCCTCTATTCTGTATAATTTGTAACGGTATATAAAACCGATGAGAAATTTTTAAATATACGTTTTGTTTCCTTTAGTTGAAAGTGTTACAAGCTTTAACAGTGTTATACCTATTTATACCTATAAAACAGCGTTATGTGGCGTCCGTGGAAAAACACTGATGGTGCTTCTTCCAGTGTTCCAGCAAAACAAAAAGCATTTATCTGCTGACGCTAGAAAAACCGTAAAAACAATATATAGTTCTTTACTCACAAGAGGACTTACTGCTAATACTGCTGCCAGTGAAATATCTGATTACCGAAAATTCCTCTAACCACAGTGAAAAGAATTACATCAAATTCCATTAAGTCAAGAAGGAAGCGTAAGGATGACGGTTCTACCAAATGTATTGACGAATATAGTACTACTAGTAAGTACTACTATAGGTTCTACCAAATGTATTGACGAAAGTGATAAGGACTTAATAAGACGAAAAATTTACACAATGTACGAATAGCAACGGATACCTACATTAGATGCTTTAAAACAACGGATTACTAATAATGATACACAAATAAACTGTAGCCGCATTAGTCTTTGGAGGATTTTGTCTAAAATAGGCTTCAGATATCGTACAATTGACAAAAGGCAAGTGCTTATATATATATATATATATATATATATATATATATATATATATATATATAACTTCCCTAAGAAAGTATCGTACAGAAGATCGACCAATAATTTATCTGGACGAGACATGGTTTGACACTCATGAAATACCATCCAAAGGATGGTCCGATACATGCAGGATCAGAAAATATTTGGTCCCAAATGCGTTATGGCTTTATGCAAAGAATATTAAAGACTCCTGCGTGGACTACCATGAGGATACAACTGCAGAGTTTTTTGAGCAATGGTTTAAGAATTGTCTTATACCTAACCTTCCTCAAAATAGTGTGATAGTAATGGACAATGCAAGTTACCACAGTCGTCAATTACATTAGTCTCCCAGTGCAAATAACACTAAAATTGAAATTCAAAACTACCTGTTAGAAAACGATATATATTTTGAAGAAAGTTATTTAAAAAATGAACTGTTAGAAGTGTTAACATCATTTTCTATTAAAAAGTATATGTTTGTGACGCATTGGCCTAGGACATGGGACATATAGTGTTACGGCTTTCTCCCTACTATTGTTTATTTAATCCCATAGAGCATGTGGCACCAACTTAAGTCAAATGTTAGGTCACAAAATGTTTCTTCAACTTTAAGTGGTAGTGTAGTCAAATTAATAAGGAAATATGCTGATGATATCTCCCCAGAAAGTTGGAAAAATTCAGTACGCCATGTAATGAACGTAGAAAATTCATATGTTACTTTGAATCGCATAATTAAACCAATTGTTAATAATCTTGAAGAGGATAGCGACAGCGAAACAGAATTAGGTATTTAGGAATTCATAAATATATTTCGGTTATTTTGGGTATTTTTTTTTGTAAATATTAACTTGTATATATTTTTCTATATTTTTTTTTCAGTTCATCTATTTTTTGTACATTATGTATTCGTTTGTATGTATATACTGTAAATAGAACTATTATTACCGTACTTTTAACGTTACTAACTTACGTAACTTTTAAACACGCCAGTTTTTTGCTGACAGTGCTAAGCCTGTAAAAAGTGTGGAGGAAAGTACCTTTCTGAATTTAGATCCATATACTACAATTGTTCATGTAGAACAACAAAACTATTTTTTTCATGTTAAAAATTGTTCAATTATCAAGTATATTCACTTGAACAACCTGAAAATACCATATGAAATATTTTATTAAATTTTTATAATCGTGTATTACACAGCTATAAACACAAGAACACTGGATTCCTGACAGATAATCAGGGAAATATAGTACTGGAAATATAGCAGAAAAGGGATATTTGCATAAAATACGTGGAAAAAACTTTTAAAGATGTACGAAGTAACACTAGTATTACAACAAACACCAATTGCGAATTTGGACCACCATTTACAGTGGAAGAAGTAAAATATGCCATCAAAAGCATCAAAGATGGTAAAGCCCTGATAATTTTCACTCAAAATTCTTAAAACTTATGGACTATGATGGCATAAAATGGTTGACAAATATATTTAACAATACATATGATACAGAAGTAATTCCCCAAAAATGGTTAGTGTCAACTTTTATAAATCTTCCAAGAAAACCCAATGCGAGAAAATGCGAAGACTATATGTATGTAGAATTATAAGCCTCATGAGCCATTTACTTAAAACATTTCTAAAGGTCATTCACAAAAGAATATATACAAAATTACTAACAAGAACACAATTCGGATTTCGTGATGCTCTGGGAACACGGGAGGCCCTTTTTGCTGTACAGGTGCTATTTCAGAGATGAGGATGTGAATTGTGAGATATACGTATGCTTTATAGATTACCAGAAGGCATTTGACAGAGTAAAACGTGACAAATTAATGACTCAAATGCAAGAAATTGGAATTGACAACAAAGATCTTAGAATTATTAGAAACATTTACTACAATCAAACGGCCAAAATCAAAATAGAAGACCAGTTAACTGATAAAATTGCAATAGAACGTGGAGTACGACAGGGCTGTATTTTGTCTCCATTGTTGTTCGATCTTTATTCTGAATGGGTATTTAAGGAAGCTTTAGACGGTTGTGCGAAAGGGATACTAATAAACGGTGAATGGTTGAATAACATTAGATATGCAAATGACACTATAGTTTTTGCCGATAATCTGAATGACTTACAGATATGAACAAATCGCATAACAGAAGTCAGCAACACATACGGACTAGCTCTTAACATAAAGAAAATCAAATTTATGACAATTAGTAAAAAACCAATACTAAACGCTCAACTTATAATCAACCAACAGAATATCGAAAGTGTCGAGCAATATACATATCTAGGCACCAATTTAAATAGCCAATAGGACCACTCAGCAGAAATTAAATAGCGAATAATGAAAGAAAAAACAGAATTCGTTAGAATGAGAACCATTTTCGACAGTCGAGACATATCATTAAAAACAAAATGCCGTCTATTGAACTTCTACATATTCACAGTTTTGCTCTACGGAATGGAAGCGTGGACACTGACTGTTGCATTTATAAATCGGCTCGAAGCTTTCGAAATGTGGTATTATAGGCGCATCTTACGTATATCCTGGGTTGACAGACTTACTAATGTGGAGGTCCTGCGTAGAATGGAGAAAGAATGTGAAATTCTCATGACCGTCAAAACTAAAAAGTTGGAATATCTAGGACATGTAATGAGAAATCAAGAAGGTTACAGTCTTCTCCAGCTGATTCTCAAAGGGACGGTAAATGGTAAGAGAGGACCGGGAAAAAGACGCATTTCTTGGCTTCAAAATTTACGAAAGTGGTATAACACGACTACCACTGAACTGTTCCGCACTGCAGTAAACAAAGTAAAGATAGCCGTGATGATCGCCAACATCCGGAACGGATAGGCACTTTAAGAAGAAGATTACACAGCTACCAATGAAATATATTAAATAACAAACTTTCTGAAGTGCGACCCTGTGTACTTCGACAGTTGATTGAGAGACTCTTGTATACACAATAGGATCAACTCAGGTAACCATTAAGCACTCAACCATTTTTCGTGAAACAAACTTTACCTGAAACACCAAGGATTGACAACTGCTCTCACACTAATTGCGTCGCTTGATAAAATCAAACTGACCAAAAGAAAAGCTAGAATTTCAATTCTTTTGATAGGTGGATTTACATAATGAATTTGTATGGGTCATTAATAGGCACTTATACCTTAGTTTGCGTATCACGTTTTTGACAAGTTAGATATTTGTTTACAATTATTTTAACCAATATATTTTTACCGTTGAAATTGTTGTTATTTTGCTTAACCTTCAGCCGGGCGCGCCGCAGTAATTTGCTGTGTAAACTCAATATTTCCAGGTAAAGTGTTAACGGGATACATGAAAACAATAAGAAACTACATGGCAGCAAATTGCTGCGGCTCGCCTGATGATGTCATTATTTAGGGCGCGCCTAGCCAAAGGTTAATAGATACACAAAATGGTTTAATAAACAATATGTAGGGATTCTGAGCAAAACATATATTGAAACCAATAATATCACACTTATTTCATTTTGTCGACAACTTCGTTAACCCCTTTATATAAAAAGATACTTTTATATATACTTTCCTGGAGTAGAATGTTTGATACAGTAGAATCCTCTTTTTCTATTCGAAACAACTTCCAACTAATGCAGTCCGAGTTTACTAACGCGCTTAATCTTTTGCAGCCCTTCAACGATGACATACCCTTAGACCCGAAAACTCGTCGCAGTTGCCCGGAATAATGGAAAAAATAAAATGGCACGATCGCCTTTTCGGCAAAAAACTAATAAAATGCGACTCGGTGAACACCAACTCCAACTCCAACAACTTCGAGCTTATCTCCACTAGTGAAGTTCTGCAGAATGTAAACATTACGGGAGTTTACTTTTCGTTCGCCAATATTAACCTTCAAAGTGACGAGTTTATTAATAAGCTCAAAGAGTTCTATGAGAGATTAAGGAATGAAAGTTGCAGTGATGAGAAAAAGCTTCAGGTTATTCAGGTAAGTACTTAAGTGTTGGAAAAACATTTAATAATAGTGTTAATTCGATTTCGAATATTTATGCATTCATATGTAACATAGTATAAATAATCTCATATTTTAAAATATTTATTAAATGAAGAATTAGAGAAGAAGAATAGTAAAAATCATCCTGAAAATATAAGGCAGATAAATAATAATATTGGGAACATAGGATACGGCCCAAGGTTAGTAACTAGACAGGTTGTCTGATAACTTTACACCAATCAGCGTCAAGAATCCAATAGCGGGAATAACGTCATTGAGAATTCTACATTCAAAATCATTGACTTTACTTCTTGAAATGAACTCGAAAAGCAGAAATGATTAAAAATATATTAATCTTTGTATATTAAAAAAATAAGTTTTATATTTTAATGACCATGTTTCATTCAATCTTTAAAAAATATGTGAGATACACAGTTACAGAAATACATAGAGGAATATAATTGCAACAAATTATATGTAGTAGAATAGCACTACTACTAAATTAAATTAAAAGATTTCTTCTTGTGTATATATGTGGCTAAAATATACAAATATACTATATTTGAATACAATTTATTTGTTTAAATTATTTTGAGTAGGTACATACTTTTGTATTGAGGATAATGCTGATAGTATACTGTATCCAGAAATTTAGTCTCATTATAAAAGTTATTTTAATAACAGCTGTAAAACCAAATAATCCTTTGTAAATACTCTATTGTTGTACAATTATCACAGCTACCCAAGCTGCCAGGACCGGCTCCCTTAAAAGTCTGCTTTCGATGGAATTGGTTGTAAAGTCATTTGAGTGTTCAGATTGCGCAAAAACTTAGTTGAATATTGTTATAAAAGTATTGCATTTTAAATTAAGAGTGTGTACACTTGCCGGTGAATCCACGGAAGTCAAATTTACCTTTATTGTATGAAACAATGTAGCGTCCTTGGAGCCCAGAGAATACTAGGGCAATTTTAACCAAAACCAAATCGACAAGGAGGTGATCTAATTCAAGTATTAAAATCTAAACACCGCCAACGAATCTATTTATCTACTGATACAAAACAAATGATTGCCAATGTTTTTCAAACTCTTGTCGAAAAAAAAAATCATGGATAGTAACGAAGCCGTACATGAAACGGCAACTTTGACTAAAAAGCCATTATCCACAGTCAGAAAAATTGTAAGTAGTCCTATTATACCAAGATTAACAAAACGGGATAACAGTATTTATCGGAAGCTCGATAGTGCAGATGATGATCTTATTCGTCGCAAAGAGTATGCCATGTATAAAGAACAAATGGTACCCACACTAGATATATTAGTTGACAGACTTCACGTCGACAACACTGAAATTAAGTGCGGTGGAACAACTACTGCTTAGAAGTGTTTACAACGTATGGGGTATAAATACAAAAAAGTGAATAAAAAACGGGTACTTATAGAATCCTTTCGTTTACGAATATGGCGAACGGAATATTTATATGAAACCTTGCTTGATACTCACGATACGCCATCTAAATGTTCGGTAGATAATAATAAATCTTGATCAACAAAAGCGCCTTTTAATAGAAAAAAAATGCCCTATCTCTATCAGCTAAAAACATCAGTGGGTCATGTGTCGATTACCATGACAACACAAATTCAAATATATTTAAAGACTGGTTTAAAGTTATTACCCAACATCCTTCCTAAGTGTTATAGTTATGGCCAATGCAACATATCATCGCAGGCAATTAAATAAATTCCTAGTTCAAGCGATACGAAAATAACAATACAGAATTACTTATATGACAAAGATATTTATTTTCACATAAATAATACTAAGAATGATTAATTGGATATTTTAAAAAGTTTCGCATTGAAAAAAGAATTCCTTTGTAATAATTATGCCGAAAATATGGGTCATACGATTTTAAGACTTCCGCCATATTACTGTGTATTTAACCCAATTGAACATATATGGCATCAACTTAAGTCAAGAGTTCGAAGAAATATTACTTCGCCACAATTAAAGGCATCTGCCCTGCATCTAATTAAAATGGAAGTATTCAACATCGATGAGAATAGTTCTAAAAATGCAGTCTCAAATATCATGAAAGCTGAGAATTCATATTTTTCTACACATAATATACAAAATATTATCATCAATTTAGGAGACGACAGTGATAGTGGCACAGATTTGACATAATATCTATGTGATGTAATATGCTACAGTCTATATTGCAAGGTAAAGTCAAAGGTAAGCGAGGACCCGATAGAAGGAGAATATCATGGCTGCGGAATTTAAGAACATGGTTTAAGAAAACCTCAACGGAGCTGTTTCGAGCCGCAGCGAGCAAGGTTATGATTGCCAATATGATTTCCAACATCCGAAACGGATAGGAACTAGAAGAAGATGTAATATTCATACTCGTTTTGTGTGTGTATTTTATTTTCAGTGGTTTTCACAACCAACTGGCCAGTCAATTTCGTAATGATTTTTTTGGACTATAACTTATCACTAACTCAGGGGAGTAGTGTTTTTGTTAAGTAAATGTCTTGTCACTTTAGTAAAGTCGACTTCATTGTCTTTACAATTGTATCTGAACGTCTGCGGTTCCTCCTGTGAGTACCGATTTACTCGTGTTAAACGGTTCATATTTATTCATGTTGACTTGTTATGTTTAATTTTTCCGTTTCATGTCTGAAAAAGTTGGCAAACAATGGGAAATTTCGTTATTAATAATTTCATGAAAAAAAATTATCCTTCATTAAAGGTTATGCATCACATAGAAATCATTAATCAATAATCTTATAAAATATTAAGTGGTAGACAGTGGAAATCAAAATTATTATTAATTAATACTGAAGAGGTAAGTGATTTTAAATTTAGATATGCAAAAAAATGTAATTTTAAAATGTTTGTAGGTACTACAAATTATGTCCAAGTTTAAATTCATGGCCTTCTAATAATTAAATAATACATTTAAAGTAAAAAATAAATAAAAAAATATTTTTTGAATTTTTTGATGTTGTATATTGAATAAGGTAAATTAGAAATTAAAGTAAAAATTAATGCACGTACTGAAACATCATTAAAAGGCTATAAATCTAAATTTAAATATTGTTCTATACCTAAATTTAAAAACACTTCACTTTTAAGCATAAACCAATATTTTTGATTTTCTCTGTATACCACTTAGAATTTTATAAATTTGATTATTGATTTCTATACAATGCAGAAATTTTTATGGAGAAATTTTTTTATAAAATTAATAATAAAGAAATTTGCCATTTGTTGCCACCTTTTTCAGAAATACTTTATACCTTACTAACAATGGAAAAACTTATTCCCTTACATGGAATATAAAATATAATCATATTTAACTATATGTATGTATATACCTACATTAATCCATTTGCAATTGTTGCAATTTATTTAACATAACAAAAATTGTTTACTACTATCAAAATTTGGATATATTTAATACAAAATCAACACAGACAAATATAATAATTAATTAATTCTAATACTCCATCAGTTTATTTATATTTTCTCTTAATTAGCTAGATATTTATTTACATTAAATATGTAATGTAAATGCCAAATAAAATATAGAATTCGATAAACCGGCCCTTTTTACTATTTACCTGTAGAGGCAAATCAGTTCATAGCTTCGCCTTTATCTGCGGGATACTTTTAAATTCTGCATAAGTCAGTTCTTATAATTGTGAATAAAGCATACTAAAAAGTACCTTAGGTTAAAAGCCCTTGATAATTCTTTTTCGTGTTAGCGAGCCTTTGTTTTCTTTTTAATATTATTTGTAGTTGATTAATAGCTAAAACGTCTTTAAAAATACGTTTTGCTTTTTCCTTAAACTCAGTTTCGCTTTCCAGTTTAGCTGCCTTAAGTTCTCTAATCCATGATTGTTTTCAGTATCTTTTTTTTTTCTAGAAGTTTTTGTTGAAGTTTCACGGTTTCTTCCTTTATGTGCCTTAATTCTCTTTTTAGTACATCTAATGCTTTTCTTTATTACATGAAGGTTTTCTGGTAAATCAATATGTTGGGTAGAAGTATTCTTATGTATTACTTTTATCTGCTCTTTAGTATTGTATTCTGTAAAATTATGTCCGAAAACATCTTTGTTTTCTTGTTATTTTCTTGTTTTTTTTTTACTCTATTCTGTACAACTTAATCACAAAAATAACTTTAAGTCAATGAATAACACCATCTCTTTTTAGTTTTTTAGGTTGTATGTGTAATATTTTAGCTTATAAACAGTTCATAATCGTTCATGCGAAAGTGTATACTATAAACTCTTTTATTAACACAGGACCACTTTCCTATGACACTTGCTGATCAATTGCTTTTGAATTTTTACATTTTTTTGGAAATGTAAAACATATTAATTACCTTTCATCCTCTTTGGACTTTTTTGAATTATTTTTGCAGATTGCTACACTGCAAATATTTCCACCAGTCATTTAAATCAGTAGAAAATATTAGAATTATTTATGTTAAACATTTTCCTGCATTAATACCAATGTTACCTTTACTATATATATTTACTTATATTATAATAGAGCAGAAATAAAATCCATTAAGTAGGTACTTAACGCAACCGCATTAAATGTATCTTAACACTTGTATAAGAGTGTTGGGTATCTCAAGATACAATCATCATCATCACCCAGCCCTTTGCGTGACTGCTGGTCATAGACCTCCCTCATTTTTGTCCATTGTGGTCTATCTTGAGCATTTTCATCCAATTTCTTGACATTTTCTTGAGATTGTCAGTCCAATGAGTAGGAATCTTTCTCTACTTTTTTTGTCTAACCTTGGCCTTCACGTAAGCAATCTCCTCGTCTACCTTTCATCACTGATTCGGGCGACGTGTCCGGCCCAGTTCCATCTCAGTGTGGCAATTCGGGAAATTACATCGGTAACTTCTGTTCTTCGTCTTAACCCTTAACTACTATAAGTCAAAAGTAATTACATAATTGTTACAAGTGAGT